TGCATATTTGCCTTACACCATGATAAGTGATGAAAGTCACTAAATTGGTAGTCTCCAAGTGGCATCCTTCATTTTCTTACAACACTCCCCTTGGATGTTAATGTAAAAGAAAATAAATATACATAGACATTCATAATACGCATTACTTGTTGCCTCATTAAAAACCTTTCTAGGAAAACCCAGTGGGACAAAACCTAGACTTAGGGAAAAAGAGTACAACGCGTATTTTACTTACCCTGATAAAAACCACGATTCAGATGGTTAAGTTTTCGCATTTCAATCTTGCGAACCATATTTTCAAGAGTTGAGGCTGGTAAAGATTTGTGAATAAGTCTGTTGGATTCAATGATTCGTCTCATCATTATTGATCCAGGATGACCTATTCGGTCATGCCAAAGCACAAAAGTTTTTAAGTCAGTAAACTTCTGGTTTACGATAGAATGTGCTTCAACTGTACTTATTTTTGCATAATATAAGCCAGAAGATAAAGTTGATAATTTCTCCAACACATATTTCTGGTCTGAGACAATCTTGGTAATACCAAGGTATTCAACATTCATTTCATTTATTGTCTCAACATGATATCCATTTCGGCGAATATCTTTAAAACTTAACAAGTTTCTTGGGGATTTAGAAGAGAACAATGCATCTTCTATAACAAGTATTGTCCCCTTAGGCAGAAATATAGTAGCTCTTCCGGAGCCTAAGTTTTGTCCCCTTAGGCAGAAATATAGTAGCTCTTCCGGAGCCTTCTTTTAAGTTCGAATTACCAGAAATTGTAGTAATATTTGCTTTTCTTCTAAGCAAGTAAGAGAAGTATTTCTCATCTTTGAATATGGCGTGCGTTGTTCCACTATCAATTACACAAATATCTTCATGATTGATCATTGATCCAAACGAAATTTGGGGCATATCCCTATCTTCCTTTTTACCTATTTAAAGTAGCTCAAGTTGGCAGAGTCTCGTGTTGATAACATGTTATAAAATAATTACTTAACAAACTTAAGATTAACACACTTAAAAAGGAGAACAACGGAGAGAGTAATGTCTTTCAATCTATATCTCTTCATTTGTAAATGTAGTAGCTATTTATAGTAGTAAGCTAAAGTACAAATGTATAACTTGGCTACTAATTGCCAAGTGTTGGTAGTTTCCCAAAAGATGGTTTCCACATGGCATGCATATTTGCCTTACACCATGATAAGTGATGAAAGTCATTAAATTGATAGTCTCCAAGTGGCATCCTTCATTTTCTTACAACAATAATAATGTAATGATGATTAGTTGAATTCTCCTTCATGAAAAAATTGCAGAAAGTATATAGGTTAAATATAGTAGTTGATTATAAATCAAGTCTTGAACACCCTCGTTCTAATTCATTTTAAAAAAAGAAAAGTAGTATTGTGTTTAAGGGACTTAAATATTAGCTATTGCTATTACTAGCTTATCATTTTTTGACTAGTAAATTTGATCGTGATTCATACACGCAGCTATTTTATAAAAAAATATTAAAAATTTATAAGTTCTCTCTTAGTCATCAAACAATATATATATTTTCTCTTCAGTTTATATTAAGTAAATTGTTGAGGTATAATATTTTTTTTAAAAAAATATTCTAGGATACAAATAAAAGGCTTTTTTTCTAATTTCTATTACTATCTTTTTTATTATTTCTAAACTATTCTCCTAGAAAATATAAAATAGTTATTAACATCATTCAATGAAAGATAAATATAAAAAAAAATCTTAGCAATGCTTTGAACTTTGAACAATTCACTTGTTTGGACTATGAAAAAGATTCCAATATGGACTAGAGGGAGTACTATATTATCTTTGTTTCTAAAATAAGTATTATTTTGGTGAATAAAATAGAACGTTTCAAAATAAGTGTTATTTTAGAAATTTAGGACAAAAAAGTAGTAATTGTTTCCATTATACTTTTATGTTAAGGAACTACTTCGAGAAAATGGGCAAATGACCCCCCAATCTATTACCGAATTTTCAACTACACACTTATACTTCAGGGGGGTACTATTACCCCCTGAGCTATTTTAAAGTGGAATTATTTTCCCCCTAAAATGTCATTATCAGGCATGTGTCTTGTGGTGAAATACACGCACTTGACACGTGTATTTCACCATTTAATAATTTCTTTTTTAAAAGAAGTTCCCCTCCTTCCTCTTCCTTTCTTCCCTAATCATTTCTTCAACTCTAACTATAATAAACACCATTTTTTACCTCAATAAATTTCTATATCTCTAACAATTTGTAAAAACGAAAATTTAAGTCACTTTTTTATCTACTCTGAATCTATAGAGCCTAGAAGATAGCGGTCCTAATCAAATCTTTCATTCAACCAATTCAACAATTTTTCTAGATTTTTTACATTTCATTCGATTTTTCTTCCTTAGACAATTTCAGATACACATTAAATGGGTCATGAACATTCAAGATCAAATTTAGCCCAAGATTTCGTCGACAACTCAAAATCATCGCGGATGAGAAGACCAATTTGAGACCAATTTGTGACAGCAATTTGAGAAACGTCTCTCTCTTTCTCATTCTTTATTCTTTCTCCCTCTAAAATTTTCATGATTAATTTATAATTTGAGTTTTTGATTTTGATCCGTCATGGGTTTTAGTTCCTTTTAATAAGTTTGAAAATATTTTTCAAAATATACAATTTCTTCACTTTGATTTTGTTACTCTTGAATCCATGACTTGAAAAAAAAATTATGGGTATGTTTTTTTAAAAAACTATACTTAATTTGTTTGATATGATCTAAATAAGTCTATTGAAAAATTATTTATTCATAAAATGCAGTAGTTGTTGATAATTTTTATACCAAACATCCATTAAAAAAGCTTCAACAATGATAATGGTGAAAAATGTATAGTTGTATAGATAAATAAGAAGAAAGAAAGAGAAAGAAAAAAGAAAATAAAAAAAATGGAAATTAAAAAAATAAACAACTTACTCTCTCAAAGAGAGTGAAATACACTCTTCATGCCAACTCAGCACTTAAGGGGTTATTTATTTCATTTTAAAGTATTTCAAGGGGGTAATAGGACTCCCGTGAAAGATAGGTGTGTAGTTGGAAATCCGGTAATAGGCTGGGAGGTCATTTGGCCATTTTCTCGAACTACTTCTTAACAATGTTCAATTCTAAATAAATACCAAATAAATATGTATAAATTATACTCCCTTTATTAATTTTAGTTTGTTTGTCTTTTTTTTTTATTTAGTTCGTTCTAAAAATGAATGTAATTTAATTAGCGTATAATTTTTTCGAAATTATGGGATCCGTTTTAGCTATGACTTTTAGTTTTAATTTCATATTCTTTAGTTATAGCTTTATTTTTTTGAATGTCGGTAATATTTGTTTATATCTTGTAACTACTTTGAGTAAAAATCAACAATCGATGACGAAAAATACCTTAATTATGGACATCTTAATGGACATCTTCAAATTAATTTTGCGCAAACAAAAAATAATTAACGACTTAAAATATCTAAAAATTATATTAAAATTTAATTAACTTTCTAGATTCTATCTATATCACATATATTAAAATAAAACAATTATAGATATTGGGCCCGTGCTAGCCCGAACACCTGTGTTTAGTATGAATTAGTAAGAGATCAGTCTTAGCTTGCCTTAGATTCATGCATTGAATATACTAAAAAACTAAAAATCTTCCTTTTTTGTGCATTGTTTTTAAAATAAAACCCAAATGCCAAGTGATTTAGTCCGTTTATTGAGTTCGTAAAAATTTTGCAATTTGCATTGCTGAAGATATGATGAACAACAGAGAGTAAAACGCCAGGGAAATGATGAACAATACAGGGCAAATTCGTAAAGAAATTTATTGTTTTCAACTCGCCCCGCCTCACATATATCTCGTCCCGCCCAGCCCGCCCCACATAAATTTATTGTTTAATTAAGGAATTAAGATACAACATTTAATTCAAATCAATTAAGTCACATATCTCGTCCTTATGTGTATCTAACAGCTTGTGATACATGTTTTCGATAGCCGAAAATGATATAAAAAGTAATATTGAAAACTATCTGAATTCCTAGTAATTAGGATCCAAAGTAGTGAAATTTATGTAGTTCACCCTTTTATTTCTTGTCAGATCGATTTAAATTTTAATTTCATTTGCCTTTTTTACATTTCTAATTATCTATTAGTTGGAACTTGGAATTACATTAGCTTTTTATTTCAAAATCTCAAATAGTTAAACCCCGTTAAATACTGAAAATTCTAATCCCCTAGTATTCTTAAATGATTAATTTTTAATTTTTTTTAAAAATGTGCATATTTTTGGGGATTTGAGATGTAAATGAGAAGATATCTTTTCATTGTTTATAAATTATCCCCTCCATTCACTTTCACTTGTCACTTATTCCTAAAATAGTTTTTCATTTTATTTTATCATTTTTGACATATCAAGAAAAGACACAAGTTTTACCCTCAACATTAAATACTTATTTTTCAAATCATTTTCCAAGACCTAATATTAAACATCATTTAATAGAGATAGTTTGATAAAATACCTATATCAATAATTGTTTTCTTAATAAGAGTGTCAAGTCAAATAGTGATAAATAAAAATGAATGGAGAGAGTAATAAGAGAGTCTTGCCTCAGATTCATAAATTGAATATACTAAAAATCCAAAATTCTTCTTTTCTTTTTTGTGCATTTTTTTCAAATTAAATCTAACTATCTAAGTGTCAGGTGATTTATTCCGTTTATTAAGTTAGCCGAAGTTTTGTAATTTGGATTTCCACTATTAAAAAATGATTTTCCATGTATAAAAGCTCAAAATCAAATGAGCTTTTTAAAAAAATTCATGTATATACTTGATCCTTTTAAATAATTAGCACTATATATATAAATTAGGAGGCAAAGAGCAATATAGTTGACAACATATCACTTACATGAGAAAGACACAACAAACATAAAAAAAAAGTACACAACCAACAAGGATTGTTTTTTTACCATACTTTCAAACAACAAACAAAGCAAAGTTTATTTATGTAAAGCTCACATGCTTATATATGATCCCATCATAAGTTGCTTGGACTATTCAAAATGTTGCCACATTTGTATCAGATCCTTCAAAAATGTACTATTATTAAAGGATTCGATATGCACCTAATGACATTTTTGAAGAGTCCGAGCAACATAGATCTTATCAATTCATCATTTGGCATGGTGATCATCAATACCTTTTGTCATACCAACAACCAAGTCCAACAAACTTATAAGTTCAGGGACATTCTCATTTGGCCTTTCATACTTCAATGTCCAGCTTACCAAATCGATTTCATCTTTTGTTTCGATATGAAGAGTTGCTTTAATACTATCATAATTATATGTTATATCTCCTTCAAATTCTTTAAGTATGAGCATCTTATTTTCATGATCTACAGCTTCAAGTATTTGTTTAGAGATCTTCTTTTCCCCATCTGGTTACAAAAAAAAGAGTTGGAAATGAGAAACAACATAGAGTTGACATGTTAAAAAACCATCTAAAGAGCTTTATCTCAATCATAATTGCTAAAAATTCTAGTAAAAAGGCAGGTTAAATGCATTCCCCTACCAGTTGAATTTGGATGAGGAGCCGGATGACATTTTAGTCAATACTAAAAGCGTAAATAAGTTAGGAGCAAAGAGTGTTCGAGAAGGTTCAATTGGCCGAAATGAATTTATAGATTTGCAGATTTATCGACATTAAATTCGTAAAAAGAACCAAAATTTTCAAGTAGGATGTGGATGATAAATCTTTGTAAACGCATTACATGCACTTTTATAGACTTAACCCGCTACTCCGTTTTGATAGTAATTTCTTATCTATATTTTGTGTTCGATATGAAAGTAAAATAATATTATTTTAAAAACATTTGTATATATCTAAAACAAAATTATGAGGATGGAATGAGTAGGGGAGGGGAGGGCAAGGGTGGGGTGGGGTGGGGCTAATTAGGACATTTTTAAATATTTAGCTTACCAAGGGTATAGGTCCAACAAATTTTGGATCCAATTGTTCCAATGTCACCTTCAAGAAGATCAAAACCTTGTACATGCAAAGGGGACATAGTAGAGACATGGTGTGGTTTATTTGTAAAAACATCACGAAACATCATGCAAAGGGACATAGCATTTCATATACATGTGAATCACACTAGAATCATATATCTAGTGTGATTCGCATGTGTTTGGGATACACAAACAAATCTCATCCACCTCCCTTCTGTTCTCGCTCGACTCTCTCCCTATTTCCTTGAATCTGATAGCAAAAAACATGTATCTAGATGTATCTATGTAACGACCCAAATTCACAAGTCGTGATGGCACCTATATATGTTCCCAACCAATAGGTAAGCCAACCCAACATATTTACCAATTATGATTAACTAATGAGGTAAAAAGGTAAACAACGAGTAAAAAATTCAAACACTAAGTTCTTTATAAATATGAAATGCGGAAAGCTAAAATACTACCCAAGAATTGGTGTCATAGGTACAAGAGCCTCTAAATATGATGCAAGTCTAAAACTAAATGACAAATCCAACATAAGGGATATTCTGTCTGAATACTAAAATAACAGAATAAATAAAAGGTAGAAGGAGGTGTGGGCCACGGAACAGCCAAGCAGCTCACCACAACTCCAAGATACTCCAAGCTCGGACTCAAAAAGCTCCACGAGATGTGCTCGTACTCGGAATCGAATCTGCACCACAAAAGAGTGCAACAAGTGTAGTATGAGTACGAAACCACGTGTACCCAGTATATCTCATAGACCGACAACGAAGAAGTAGTGACAGGAGTTTAAATAATACAAAAATAAGTCGTTTACTTATACAAGTCTATAGTACGCTTACCAGTCGAGTTTCATCAAAATAAGGATAATCAAACTTCACA